GGTTTTCAGGTCGTGCTGCCGTCACCTTTCATATTTGATGAAAGCTAAATGAGTCTCTCGATTAAATCCCATAAGTTTCCCTATTAGTTGTATGGTAAAAATATCTCAAGGGCGTCCTTTTGTAAAACAATTTTGTTCTATTATTAAAATATCATAGATATTAACATGCCTTTTATTTAAAATTCGTGCGTAGAGGTTTCTCAACAATACTAGTTAGAATAGAAAGTATTATTGTTCAGTGGACCTAATAAGCCTGCTCCGTGTTTTATAACGGCCTAACAAGCATGTTCCCAGTTCAACGTCTTGTTTCTTGTGGTCTACTGCTCCGTCAGTTACAAATTAGTTAAAATTTCTTATAAAAGAACCTCTACGCACAGCCGTTTTAAATTCATTAAAACATAATAAAAAGGATTAGAAAAAACTTGGAAATTTTGTATACCAACAAGCCAGAAACCCTAAGATTCTTTCTTATGATCTTTTTCAAGCAAATTGTATGGAGCATGGAACACGTTGAAATTGTTGGAATTTAAGAGCTAGGTCATATAACAATTCATTCGATATTCCCCTAGACGATCTTAATGACTTTTGCATAGACTGTCCATGAAATGGGCCCTACGTTTAAGGATGAGGAGACTGAAGTGCAGACGAGGCCAAACGTGCGAGACCAGGCAGTTGGCTTATGCTTTCGTCACTTTACATCTCAATATATTTTCCCCCACTTATCAAACTAGTGTTGCTGTAACAAACGCAAGTGGTCTCGTATCATCTGTAATAGTAGTATAAAATTATTTTTTGTATTCCAGAATTATAAAAGAACCTTTTCTGTTGCAAGAAATCGTCCATAAGGGGGCATTTTACGGCACAAATGATGACGTATTTGATTTTATGTTACGAATAATTGCGTCATCACACATTCAGCCAATCGTAGCGGGAGAAACTGGGGAGGTAGAGCTAAACGGAACAGCCGACCACCGTTTTACTTGCACGACGTCAAATACCCGAGTCATCACAGGGAAGTTGTTTCGCAAAATCAAGCTTGATTTTCTTATAAATATATAATGCTGTTATACAAAAAAATGTATTGTATTTTGCCAAATTTCACTTTACGACGCGCCTATTCAGCCGATTTGAACGATTGATACGGCGTTGGATTCAGAAAGCACTTCGCCATCGCGCTATAAGCCCACATTTCTAAATTTCTTCCCAGAACGCTCCAAAAAAATTAAATAAAAACTTATTTTTCAATTTTTTTCCAAAAAGGCTTCATAGCGTAAATTCCTTATTAAATACAAATCATTTGTCGTTTACTGACTGAAAATCGGACCATTTGTTCAGCCGTTATTAGTAAAGTAATTTTGGCTTATTTTGGTGCTCCAACGTGGTGGCGACAAAGTGAACTGGTGTCGGTATATTCAGCCTTAATTTAATTCGCAGGAAAAGCAGTTCGCAGCGTCGCAGACCCCTTAACACCCAGCTGATAAACGAGGGACAAACTGATAAATATTTCAATACGACAAATCGTAATCATTCAAACAAATCATGCAATAAATAGAGACGCAACAAATTTAAAAAAATACCAGTTATAGGTTAGATATCCCACGCCATTGATTTTGATAATTTAGAGATTATTGACACTAAAAACATAAGATATCCACGATTAGTCTAGGTAACTATTAACACTGAACAGGCATTAAATGCTATGGTTAAATATAACTATTTCACTACTACATACGATAGTGTTTCAACAAACAACACAAGAGTGTATGTCATTCCATAATTACGCAATTTCTCGCAAGAAAAACTATTGTAATCGTGCGGCCGAAAAACTGCGAATTTTCCGATACAAAAACCCGATACACAACGCTGGCACAAAAAGCGTTCAGCCAATTTTCTCCAAAATTGATATTCCCCAATCGTTCTAGCTGATGTCACCGACCCTGGGATTTGAAACTGATATTTTAATTTTGGGTGTTATTTAATAGGAAGCCCCTGGGCTCCAAATTTTTTTGATTAGTTTAATATTAGCTCAATTTTTACAAAATTCGCTAAAAATGTCGTTTTTATTTAAAAAAGGAGTAGTTATGCCTAATGAAATATATACAGGTTTCACTCCAACTACGGTCCACGAGAAAATTGAATAAACTATATAAATAATAATTAATTTAATATTAATTGTAATGTACTATTGAAAATGTCAATATCAATTTAATTTTACTTTCTTGCTTTCTTACTTTTTACTCAATTTGATTTCTTAATAAATTAATGTATTTCTTTTTAAGCAATCCACAAAGATTAATAGAAATTTCGCAACAATGCCGCATCGATATTTGAGAAGCTAATTGTTGATAAGATGATGATAAAATGTTTTATTTAGTTTAGTTGGTGGTGGAGGTGGAGGTGGTGGTGGTGGAACTCTTACGCCGAGCCAATTCTTAGCAGGGTTTTTTTGTAAATTACACCTTAGAGTACCCTGTGAGGTATGTTATAGACCATTTAACATCTGATCTCTAAAAATATTATTGCGTTTTGAATATAAGAAAAACGAAAACACGCTCGGAACTGTTATCTTAAGACGAAAGGCAACTCACGAGTGAGCAGTCAGAATTTTCGTAATTATTTTAAAGTAAGTTGCATGTATTCTAATTACTGTATTGATATTATTAACCAAACAAATGCATAGTTTTGACAATGCTGCGCTAGCAATAGCGCGTAGCTCGCTTCATGGTTGAATTGAGACGTTTTTAAATAATAGCTGAGGTGCTAGTAGCGCAGAAAAGGCAATATTTCAATATTTCCTAGCTGTTTCCAATAACGCGAGAAAGTATGTGCTGTTGTAGCTTTACTAGTTCTATAAAGTGCCTGAAAGGACGTCTCACCCGTCCCTCTTGTCCTCGTCCTTTCCCTCTATTCTTTCCAAAATGTACTAACCCCCTCGTTTCTTCACGGAAAAAAACCACTGTGACATGTCCACGCCCTTTCGTTCAGTTTTCCTGATGTTTTAAGAAAGCGCAGAGGCATCCCTCGTTTTGCTACTGGATTTAAATGTAACTTCGCCATCTGAGCACGTTTTTTTAGTTATGTGTGAAATATTGTTATTCAAATCATAGTTCATGATCACACCAGATTAAGACGATTCTTTCTCGAAACATAAGATAAAGGATTGAGGTAAATCTTTAGCTGATGGCTTTTGCAAATAGTTATCACACGGAGCGGATATTTTCGTACCAATTCTTGGGACCGCTCTTTCTTGTATTAATAATTCAGATTCATATGTAATACGAGTTATGGCACGAATAGCAGAAGTCACGGGACGGTGCACAGATTGCACTTCTCCGCCCAGTTGTGGGCTTCCGCGCCGCCCCAACGAGTCGCCCCGAGTCGCCCGGCGAGTGCGGCGAGGCTGGCCCCGGCTGGCGTGCGGGCCAGGCGCGTTGTTTGGGCGCCCGCAGTGCGTTGACCTCCTGTGCGTGCGAGCACGCACCGCTCTCTGCGGCGGCGCAGCCTCCGTCTCCGCCCCGCCGACTCTCGCTGAGAGGCCCTTTTGATTCGAACCTCGCCTGCGTATCTTGGATTATTCGACTGCTTGACGGGCGTACTGTATGCTGCGTTTGCTGTGTACGTGGAATTGTTTTGTGTACCTGAAACCACTTTTGTTATATTGTTGCCTGGTATTATTATTATTATTATTATTATTATTATTATTATTGTATGTGCCATTTCTGACTCCTCTACACCATCACTCCCGAGGCTCAATTATATTCACTCCCGGAGAGATTAACGTATGCCATTATAGGGATCCGCTTTTTCGGCTGTATCCCTTGGGAAGACAAAGCTGTTAAGCCATGAATTATTAGGTGATAGGTTGATGACAAATGGTGATCAATGATGGTGGTGATGGTGATCAATGGTGATCGTGAGATTTTTGAACCATCCCAGTATTCGCCTGCATGACCGAGAGAAATCACGAAATCCCGGAGAGAATGTCTACCCCCGGGATCGAACCCGGGCCTCCCGATGCCACGATACAAGAAATGTTTACGTCTGATCAATAGCATGGCTCATACAAATGCACAATTGAAGCGCATGAGTGAACTAGTTCGAATCAAATTGAATGTCTTTGGGTCTTTCTTCCTAGGGCTTCGATCCAGCCCTGAGCCGGTTCGCTTTACGTCGCGAAGGGTCGCATCTTCGACCATACACTAGACACCAACACACTATTGGGCATACACTAGACGCCAACACACTCTGATCTGGAGTCCTCCGCGAGGCCCTTCGTGAAAACACTTACGTGAGAGACAAGGGACAAACAACCGTGCTCAAGGCGGGGCTCGAACCCGCGACTCTTCGTACCGAAGCGCTGAGTCGGTACACGCTCTTAGTCACCTCGATATGTCGACATGTCTCTATGTATGTTTTGTAAAATAGTTTCTGTCTAGTGTGAACCAAGGTAGTGTAAACCGCTACTACGCAATCGAGTGTTATAATTTTCACAAAGTTATTGTACACTCTATAACGCCCGATAGAGCAGGCGGAATGTCGAACTCAGATATTTCCGACGGACGGTTGGAGACGTTGGTTCATGCCCAGAGGCTCCGGTGCTGGGTGCTCAGTACGACATACGACGAACGCTTCCCGCTGTACAAAACGCACTACGAAAGGCTGCTTCAGAATGAGTATTACACGTTCGTAGAGAAAGTAGGGAGATGGAAGTTGATAACGTTTGGCCAATTAACGTTTTGGAAAATTTCACTGAAAGGATTCATTGGATTTCATTTGGAAAGTGCCACAAGTGATATTTCTGACATCAACAACTCATTGGTGTTTGACAGGAACAATGACAAGGTCAATAACAGGTTTTTTGGCTCCATTGTAAGGTTTGAATACAAAGATGACTGGAAGTGACTGCTATGTGGTTTTTATGCGTGGGTGGTGCATTATCAGGAACCGATGAGATCACAGCCAAACAATAAAGGCGACACGGAACTCAAAATTATCCTTACCAGTTGGCATGCTTTCCCTAATTGTTCAGCACATGTTCGTGGGCATAAAGCGATATTGTGCGGCTGAGCGGCCTTGCCACGTACCTCGTCGTCGGCCACGTTGACCAGCATGAGCGGCAGGAAGCAGAGCAGGAAGCAGCAGAAGATGGAGAGCATGAGGCGAGTGAGGCGGCTGTCCTCGCGGCGCTGCTGCAGCTGCGCGGGGGTGGCGGCGGCGGCGGGCGCGGACGCGGGCGCGGGCGCGGAGCCGGTCACGGGGCGAGGCGCGCAGCCGTTCGTGGAGGCGGGGACACTGGGGGCCCTGCAACACAACTCACTGCAAGGAGAGGCTATTCAAAATAACACGTACACCGGAAACATAAACTCATGGTTCAATTTTAACAACAAAGATATTCAAATTTGGCCGTTTTGAAAAAATGTTGCGTGGAAGATGAGATCATTTACCAAGTTCTGGAGAACATTTACTTGGAAATTTGATAAAATTGCGAAAATTGGTAACATTTAAATAATGAAACCTTGGAACGTTTTTAATCTCTTGTGAAAAGTAGCCATTTTTTAAGTTATGGATGTTGAACATTTAACCATCATTATTGTATTAATTAAACTATGAGTTGCAGAAAAACTGCGAAAAGAGGATAATGCGCCACACAGGTGTTAACTCGCCCAACTCTCCAAATATCTACTCGTAATTTAGGTATCACTATTCTAAGCCATCTTATTTGGTTTTCTAACCCCATTTTCTATTTTGGGGTTCTTGTGTCATTTTTACCGTTACTGGGTTTGGGTATTGCATTCGCGCTATAAGAATAGGGCTCGGCGTGAGTGCAGTTGTAGCATCTCAGGTGCCTCAATACCTTTCTCTGTAAGGATATTATAAATGACGTGAGGAAGTGGAAGTATGGTTTCGTCAGTAGAGTATTTTTTGGTAGAGAATTTGATAGTTGCGATCTACCTCAAAAATACATGGACATTTACCTCAATTCTCTTCTAATTTCAAATACTTGTAGTTTGTACTTGCAGTTAGAACTTGTAATGTTCGCAGTCTTTTCATCTGATGAAGGACCATCTCTTTAATTTTAGTTCTGTTATTATTAATATTAATATTATTATTAAGATAAAAGATTGTGTGTGAAAGAATATCAATATTTAAGAAAAATATTTTTATTATGAGAATATTAATGCATATTTCATTCAAAATTTAAAAAAATAAGAAACACTTTCATTCTGAAAGTCGGACGCACGCGTCTGGTTGAGACGCGTATTAAAATATTTCATTCAATATAACGTTGCTGTGTAAGAGGACCAGGAAATGTGCATTTTGCTGCCTGCGAGGGCATAGGGAGCGTCAGGGACACGGAGGCATGAAGGTCTATTGTCTTGACAGGGGTGCGCCCCCGGCCGCATCCGCTGACTCACCGGGAAATACGGACGCTGTTGTTTCCTAACCCGGCAATTCAGCTAAACCTGTTCTCAACTTGGGTGACGTTTGAGTTCCAAAGGAATTTGGCGGGACTCAAACGGCCAACCATGACAGTGCGATTGAGCGGAAAAATCTGCGTGACGCGCGCCCGCCAATCGCGGAAAACGATGCGGGGGAGAGTCACGTGACCCGCGAAACTGAAGAGGCAGCTGCGACGCGCAAGCTTGGGCATTCCGATAGAGTACGCGACATCGAGTGCCTTTCCGATGTAGGGACGAGGGCGAGTTCTTTGGCTTACGGAGGGACGCCAGTGAATCAATTACCGCATCGCCGCCGCGCTGTCTTACGAATGCATCAACGCCACATCGCGTGCAGCCTTTAGGACCGCCGATTCAGGACGAACGCCACGGGCCATGACTGTGGGTGCCCGAACGCGAGTCTAGGATTGACGACAGGTCGAGGCGCGACCACCGTAGCCGCGAACCGCGCTGCCGATGCCCGAACCCGTGAACGAAACCACGCCGCTTGTCGCAGCAGCCGTTGCCCGACCGCCCTCCCGCCTGACCGCACGGCGCCAAGCACCAGGACGAAGGACTACCGCTACCGTAACCGGGGTCGTGTAACCGGGAAGGGCACCACTCTGCTTCCAACAGGATAAACTCTGGCCCGTACAACCGAATAAGATAAGTTAATTGTAAGATAGTTTTAAGGAAAAATTATACCGGGAGGTTTCACCTCATGCAAAGGGAACATTAAATCCAACTTTGAAAATACCGTATGTTTCAATGCAGTATTTAAACGAAAATTAACCCTATCACTCATTGCCTCCCTTGAAAGAGTGTACGGACTGAGCAGCCGGGGACACACTAGATCGCCGTAACTAGGTAATCAGATGAGTCGGGGCCCAGCAGGGTGTGTGGTTACAATATATGGACACTCACAAGAGTATTTAATTTCTAACAGAGCTATCGGCGGTATTTTCTTTGTTGAGGAGTGCGCGTGTGGGTGTGTGTGTGTGTACCTGTGCGCCCGGAGCGCGCGTCGGCTGCTGCGCACGCGCCAGTAGATGCAGGAGTAGGAGGCCACGATGACGGCGCACGGCAGCAGGAAGGCGACGACGAACAGCAGTTTCTTGGGCGACGGCCCGCCGCCCGCCCGCGGCAGCACGGTGCAGGAGAAGGTGCGCGCGTGCAGGCCCAGCCGCCCCCACACGCCCGCCAGCGGCAGCAGCATGGGCGCGAAGCCCAGCAGCCACGCGGCGGCGGCCAGCAGCGCGGCGCGCGGCGCTCGGAACACGCGCTCGTACTGCGCGCGGCACGCCACCAGCACCAGCCTGCGCGCACACGCCCCGCACAGGGAATGAACCACCAGCACCAGCCAGCCCGCGGACATGCAAGGATGCAAGACTCATGCATGTGCACGCCAACAGCACCAGCATCTGTTCACACACACTCACACGCGCCAGGCGTGGGGGATGGCGTGCATGAGGGCGAGGGCGAGGGCCAGGGGGGCGTACCTGGTGAGCGTGATGGCGACCATGCTGAGCAGCGACGCGGCCACGTTGCCGTAGAAGAAGAAGGCGAAGAGGCTGCAGAGCGCGTCGCCCAGGCGCCAGGCGCGCTGGGCGTAGCGCGCGGCGGTGAGCGGCAGGTTGACGGCGCAGAAGAGGAGGTCGGAGGCGCACAGCCCCAGCACGAAGGCCGTGGTGGCGTGGCGGCGCAGGCGGCCGCAGCGCAGCAGGGCCAGCGCCGTCGCCGCGTTCCCTGCGCCAAGCCACGCACCTCTCCCTCAACATGCGGCCGCCTCCACTATGTTGCCTAGCTATCACATGCAAATGTCACGTATGTTACTCCATCGCACGAAATTCCCCACTACATTCTCATTGCATAATAATGATGATTAGAGATACCCTACTGCATTTGAAGTAGCTCATATTTAATATGAAGCACCTTCGTATTTGTATAGATGGACGACGCACACACGTTATTACAGATAAATGAAACAAACTTCTAGGATTTTGTGGGTCGATGGTAATTACTTTTGTCAATGACAACAGAGTCGAAATTCCGTATAACATAAATGATTAATGTGCCGTTTGCCCCTGTAGGCAACCGAGCACACACCAGTGTTTTGCATTTGTTATGACATTGTAAAAGGTATTTAATGTACCTCTCAAATATCAGTGAATAACAAATACGAAACTACGTACCCGGAACAAATAATAAGAATATTGTGACTAGTGGTAGGCAATTGACTCAACTGTGGTTGTAGTGGTTGCCAAGGCTAACCGCTCAACCGAAATTCAACATTTTTTTTAGGTTTACGCAATTTAAGCAAAATAATTTCCCTCCATTTATCGCATCAGATTCCAAAGTAGTATTTCCACTATAAATAAGTATACTTTTACGTTTAACGATATTTTTTTATTATATCCAAAATATTTGTGGGGTGAGGCTGAAGTGAAATTTCCTCCATCCGAAACTCGTCCATCCTCCCTGGTGGGGATTGGGGAATCGAGAACAAAGTCCATGCAGTCGCAACCTCGTGAGGCAAACGACTGGACAAAGAAAGTGAACACTGATACTGATATTTTCATTAATTAATTTACCTTCTTTTCCAATTAAACGGAGGCACAACGATAAGGAAGTTAGTAAAGTAGGTAAATAATTGTTTCCAAGTATAAGAAATAGAATTGTTAAAAAATTTAGTCATAGATGAGATCGTTGCATTTTCATTTCAACAACATACATTCATTCGAAAGGCTCACACCACTTTGCAATATTTAATGCTACCGTTGGCAATTGCTGTCATGTTATTGCAATGAGGAACGTCAGTATGTAACGTTGAATGTGACTTGGTCGGAACAGCGTTATGATGTGAAAACAATCGTTGTCGTGTAAGCAATGCTTGCGATTTCGTCGCATTGGGCTTCTGGAAAAGACGCCCTGCCACACCCCACATAGGGAGGCGCTCCAGCATTTGACACGGACCAGAAGTCTTGCCACATTGAGGACGGCCGCGGATGGCACGTGCTCTAATTCCCAAATCAAAGATGACGACAGAAGAAAGCTTTCACAGGAGGGTTTTACACCTTCAAACAGACTGATGAACGAACCACCCACAGGATGCTCCTTTTGGCGGAGATTAAAAGTATTCGAGGTGCATTCGAACTGTGTTGGCTGAAAATTTCCCCAGGATATTTCGACATCAGGAAGGAGCCATTGTGTACAGTACTCTTTCAGACAAGGAACATTCACAGAAATGAGAATTTAGATCAGAAGATACTTTCTTAATTGAATTACAGGGACCTTCCAAATTGATAGCGTGTGATGAGCGCTGGAGACCATTTCAATGCGGTGTAGATGCCATTTGTTTACACACGTATGTGCAAATGTGATTTGCAAGTTGCGAGTAGATAATAAACGAATCGCTCTAAGCAGATTGCTTCAGTCCACCATACCTAGTTTTGAGAAAACTTAAAAATACACTCTGTGAATTGTATTATGCGTTGAAAGCTAATGAAAAAAATCAGAGCTTTTATTGACTGATTACGAATGTCCTTACAGGATTTGTATGCGTGGGAACTATTGACATTATAAAATAGGTTTTTGTTTTGGACTGATGCACTTTCTGCGTAGACCAACATATATTTTTACATTGCTAGTAAGCTAATTTTTGTGTAACTATGATTTATTACTTCGATGTAATGCTTATAGTTCATTAATGTCATATAAATCATGCTTAAGGTTCATTAGATAAGGTAAGACGGATTTTTAAAGAATATTTATTAAGAAAATAACTGAGAACAAAAAATACGAAACATCATTTCGAGTTCCTTTAGTCATCCTGCTCATGAGGGTAAGCTAGTAATATAATTTATTTTTGTTGCTGTAAAGGGAAATTTCCCCTTGAAGTAAGCATATTTTGGTGGAAAAGCAAAATTTGATATATGCCCAGGTTGAGAAAGACAGAATGGCATCTCTCAATACCATCAATAAACTGGGATGTGATCCACAGAGCAGACAACTACGAAAACTGGATCACTCTCCTAATATCAAAATTAACTTTCGCGTCTTTTCGGTGCAGTTTCTTCTGATATGCAGTTTCTTTAATAAATATTTGGCCATCAGTTCCTGGAATGCAAAATGTTTCCAGTTTTCACTTCAGTTTCTTCAAATTTTACAATGTGCTATTTTCTTTGATCAGTTTGTTTAATTCATCCATAGAGTTCAGCCGTGTATACCTTCTAACAGTTCGTATAAATGCAGCAAAAGCCCTGTCGCAGGGCAGAAAAGAACTTCTTCTGACAGGAAATAATTGCTCGATTTTTTTAAAATGTGCCAGTGTGTGTGATGAATAGAAGCAGCTTTGCAAAGATGTGGTAGTAATTTTTGCCTTACAGATGTAGGAGGAAGAACTTTAGCCTTCGACTAATTACTATTTGCATATAACAATGAATTAGAAGCTTGTTTTCATCTTTCTAAGCACTGGACTGAATACCTTTGTAGCCAGAATGATGGAAACACCCATCAAGATATGATTTCCATATAAATATCAATTTGCGAAATTTGTGACTGAATACCTTCCTGATTCAAGCGATTCAAATATATTTGTAACATACGATTGTATCGTGACCTTTCAAAATTATGATTATAATTTCTTTCCAGATACGCAGTATTCTGTAAAATGTAGTTGATATGACTCTCGGTGACCTATGCAGCATTATGGAGCTGCGTTTCTTCATACGATTTCATGGGAGAGATACTCTTATGATCTCATTTAAGACTATTTCTTCGAAAAATGCGAATGTATGAAAACAAACAAAAAAAAAAGTATCAGAGCGGATATTGAGATCAAAGGTCAAAGATATGAACGGTCATGTTAATCTGCATTAGTTATGAAGCCCCATTTGAGCCATATTTAAGAAGTGCCTGTTTTCCTATACTTTCTTTTTTGCACAGTTCCTTCTGGTCTACAAAAGACATTGTTTCGTAACTTCGGTTCTTTCATTAGTTATATATCTATAAAAATGCTATCGATGATATTTTTTTAGACAGTTGTCGATTATAAATTGAAACTTTCATTTGTTTATCATTTTCTAATGCAATTGGAATTTATTACAAATATATAAAGAATGTGAGTTCTACATAATAAATAAATAAATAAATAAATAAATAAATAAATAAATAAATAAATAAATAAATAAATAAATAAAATAAATAAATAAAATTAAATAAAATTTGAAAAAGTGGGAGATTAGCAATATTGGAAAAATAGACATTTTCGTTTCCGAGTAATAGAAAACCTATTTGCATCGGTAAACGAATTGCAAGTATGATTTTTCTGCATTGCTAACAAAATAGTATCTCGCCCTTACCTCTACACTTACCATTACTAACAAAAGAAGAGTTCAACAAATCGTGCGCATTGTGAAGCTACATTTTCGTCCAGAAGTAAAACAAGGGGCCATCTCAGCATTTGCTCAAAGGATCAGGGAAATTGGACAAAAGCCTGATCGAGATGGGGGTCATTGACCTGGAATCTGAAGTAATTATTTGTTACAAACATATAAGCCGATTAAAAAAATATACAATACAAATGTTAACTAATTAATTATGTATCACTGTTTGGATAAAATAAACATTATTTTTCGTTTTGATAATCAGTATAGTATCAAATTGTACAGAAAGAGTTATGCAACACAAAATATTTTACTTTTACTTAAATTTGTGAACCGATTTTATGTCGTCTGGCGGTTATGCGTTGTAAAGTAACGTACATGCACGTTTGTGGATTTCTGATAGTCACTTAGAATAGAATACATAGAGTCCGTTAATAGGGTATGCTGCGTGTCTTGCAGGCTCATCTCCAGTGAACTAGGCAGAGAGGATCTCGGCTGGACCGCTTATCTCCCACACGCAAAGCCATCTCAAAGCAAAAGGAGCGGCTCAAGATGTGCAGCATGACGCAACTCTCCCCCTGCAACTTGCGCGTTCCAGAAAAGAGAGTGAATATTTGAATTGAGAAGACCGGCTGATGTAGCTCAGAGCCGACAATGACCATAAATCTGCAGTGGCTCAGATCGGGATGTCTCAGGGCTCGAATCCGGGAGGTGACAAATTTCCGACGTTGGCTAGATAACTAGGTGGAATTTTGCCGTTGTCTAGAGGAGTATTCTAGCGCCCGGATGCTCCGGTCGGTAGTTTTGCGTGGTTTTTCCTTTCAATACCAGGCAAATGCTTGGGGAGTACCCCCAGAAAAGGGCCGCGGTCCGCGGCGATCTTCCCTTCTTCTTCCTTGTCCTTTCCTCTTAAATACATACATTCTCTCTGACATGCACTATACTACCATACATGCCAGTTGAAAGTTTAGAGCTGGTCTCCGGAGGTTCGCTGGCCTGCAGACCTCTGGGAGATACGTACAGAGGGAAATCACACCCAAGACGTGTAGTTCAGCGACGAATCTCACCTCCTCTTTCCGTGACAAAATAGTCAAGACACTAATGAGTGCAATAATCATAGCAATTCACAAGACGGGAAACATCGATATTGAATTGAGAAGTACCTCACATTGTGCGTTTGGATCACATTGGTACTTCTTCGTTTTTGTTCTGTCTCACAAGGTAAAAGAATCTAAAGTATTTAATATTCCTAGTTCTTATTAGATTTGTGGGAATAAATTCAATTTGCCGGCACCATTAAAGTGTAATCGATAATGTGAAACGACCGTAAACAAATTATATATATTGCACGTTCACGTATTA